TGAAAATGCACAGTTCTCTTCAGTCTCACTTCCCAAGATCTCTCGGTAATTCTATCTCGGTCTATCTCTGACTCTGTCCTTGGACTCCCTTCTTCAGCTCTCTCCTTCTACTCTCTCAACCTAGATCTCTACCTATTAAAGACAATCTAACACTACTTTTACTTAACTAAATCTTCTAATTCTATTGGCTAATTCCATCCCTAGGAGGCGGGGCTACATTTCTCTTTCAGAAGTCTTTTGATAACCATTTCCCTGTCTAAGGACCACGATTAACTTATCAATGCATTACACTAAATGGACCTTACATCCACACACCATTGTCCTCCGACCCTTCACACAGACATTCCCACACACTCCATTTCCTTTGAGTTCCTACCACCATGTGTGTCCTGGTCATCTCCTTTGTTATCAATTATAATCTCTTTTTAATTGCCTTCTTCTTACTCTTCTGATCTTACTCACTACCATTTTGCATCTGTCATAGCTTCATCTACCTAGACGTAACGCAGGGCAGGGTTTCACTTAGGACAACAGAATGCGGTCTCTCTCAATTTGATTTTGAATATACCAAACAGCTTTTATTATTGGAATTTTCTGTTCCCAGTCTCCATTTAATTCTAGCTGTTGAAGCCATGGCCAATCCTAGCCAATTTATAGAAAATAATAAATTTACATTAACTTCATTTCATTGTGTTTGTCTTCTATATGATAAACGAGTTTCGTATTTGGTGGGAGCACCTTTAGAAAGAGTGGCGATGGATACTCAGACTACTGCCGGAAAGTACGTCTGGATACCAAGGTGGTTAGTGGTTACAAGTTTTAGCTTATTCAAAGAGAGTAGCAGAGAAAATAATTTGCCAATTCAACTTACCATGGGAATAAATACTAGTTAAAAATATGACTTGGAATGTAAATATGTGAATGACCTCCGAGAAAACTGGATATAACTTATGAGCATGTGAGAAAGCATTTGAAGGAAAATGCTGAGCGACAGTAGCGTAATTAGACACTAGAAGTGAGTCGCATATAAGGAAACTAAGTTCTTAGGCAGGAAGTGTAGATAAGGAACCGGTGGACAGACAGAAGCCTGCTCACAAATCAAATACTGGCAGGGGAACAGTGAAGGGTCACCAAGGAAAAAGAAAAGTTAGGATACCTAATAAGACTAATTGTCAAAGAAAAGGCAACAGAACCCGGGAGCCCCCAGTCAGATTTGGCACTGAATAATTGTCTAAATACAGTGTTGGCCGTCAAAGAGTTCTGTCTGTGCCGAGTTTGACTTGAAAAGACCATCAAAGAAGAGATTTCCAGCGGACTGATGGGTAGCTGATTTCATGGTCAATCCAACATGTTTCTAAACAGTGTGTTGGTCTGTCGGTGCCAGGTGCCCACAGGCAATTATTGAAGAATAAGTACGGAAGTGGCTAGATTTGACACCACAACCTAAACGGTTTTATTCAGAACATTTGCAAATTTGGCTCATACCTGATATGGATTTGACTGTGGCGGATGCAAGAAAAAGTTGTCATCACAACAGAGCCTTGAGAGACATCTCAACTCATTTATACACTTTAAAGAATCGAACGGCATGGCATCAAGCAAAATCAAACCATGTACTCCCGTATAGGATGAGAATGTGGTTCAGAATCTAGGAGTTGATGAGGCCATACAAGAAGTATTGAGGGGCTTCTCGCCTGCGGAGTGGATAACGTCCATTCATGGAGGGTGGCGGACCTTACCCCTCTGCCATCACAGAGTGCCCGGGCAGAAGCCCCCATCAGTTACAATGAGTGTGATGTTTCCAATAGACTCAGTGCCATAGAGCAGGAGTTACGGGAAATTAAAGAATCCCAGCGGGCATTGCCGGGATTACTCGGGGATGCCTGGTCAGAGTAAACAAAATCTTCAGTAGAATACCACAGAAATGTAGCCACAACCATACAAAAAGACATCCAAAAAGTACTTACGAGGTGAAACTATTATATATATATAAAAGACTCTCCTCATGGAGCATCTCCATTTTTGTCAAGTATGTGGGGGATTCTCCAGCACATGACAAAAGGGCTGGAAAAACTTTCAGATCCAGATGGAAGGGTTCACTAAGGATATATAGCTATAGGTTGTTTTACCAAAAATCTCTTATCAATTCTGTGAGTGCTGGATATAATAGCATTGGATTTAAAGTACTTTTAAAGTGTAATGTGTGTACTAGTACCTAGGTTTTGGATTAAAGGGATATTACCTCAGTGATTCTGTAAGTGTTTCATGTACATCAGTATTGGATTAAAAGGATACAATATTACTTGTTAAGTGAGAGAAAATACAATATTTGTTTAAAATTGACCATAATAACGTCAATTTAAAGTTCTGTGAAGGAAGAAAGAAAATATTGGTCAAACGAACGACCATAGTAGCAATCCTGGCGTGTGATGGATTTGGAAAGGCAAAGATACAGATACAGATTGACCAACAAGAAGATAAGGGCAGCAATCATTTAAAGGCAGACTGGGAGCTTCCTAAAAGAAGGGTGTACCTGTTACAGTTTTAGACTTACCTGTGATTGTAATAGAAGAAAACAAAACGCAATACATTTGGTATTTTGGCAGGAACTCAAAGAAAAAATTTAAAACAAAACCTAGAGGGACAAAACCAAGGGACAAACGTTTGTTGTGAATGAATATGACTTCATCAAAAATCCTCTTAGTATTTACGTTGGATAATGAATTAGAACTGTGCAAAATAATTGATCAGACGAGCAAGTGTGTTGGATTTTGTTCTCGATGGAGTAAGAACTATGCCAATATGTATCTTTTCAGTTTTGCTGTGGATTAATAGAACTGTGCTGAAATTGATTTCCATTTACGTGTTCACTGTGAAGTGAAGAGAACTGTGCAATGGACTTTTCTTATGCGATATAGAGAGTGGTGACCATAATTAACATGGAAATGGGGGGGGG